TGAATTTTGTCTAAAATAACTAATTGGAATTTTTTTTTCTTTTCAAAAAATAAAATTTTCTTTAAATTTTGATAATGTAGTTTTTTTTCAAAATTTTTTTTATTCGAAACTGGAAATGTTCATGATAATATAAATTATTAGATATAAATAAAATAAAAAAATACTTTTACTTAAAATCAAATTCTCCAAAAAATAGTTTTTCCATGGATTCTTTTAATGATTCCCAAATTTTTTCATGGATTCATGGGCCATTTTTACATATGTATTTGTATATTTTTGTTGTGATCAATAAAAACAGAGAGAAAAAATATTTTCTCTCAAAAATTAAGATTAAATGCAAATTTGTGGTAGAACAATCTTTTTGATAAAATATCAAAAAAAGCTTTTATTTTTTTTGATGACTATTTTCAAAATACTATATTATAAATATATTTTTAATAAATAATATATATAAAATTTCCTGGAATATTTCTGTTTTTTAATAAATTTGTTTATTTATTTTTTTATATATTTTATATATATAAATATATATATATATATATATATATTTATGTATAATGTAAAATTAATAGAATAATATTATTACATAATTTTTAAATATTTATTCCACTTTCCATTAAATATATTTAAATTTGTTTAATAATTCTAATTGATTCCCCCTTTTCACTTATTTTAATTTTTAAATTTTAAAAAATTAAATCTTCCAATGACAGAAATAAATTACTATATATTATTATTTTCATTTTTTTTTTCAAAATTCCATTTATTATTTTTTAATTTTTTTTTGATCTGTTTAAAAAATTTAAAAAATTTTTTTTATTTTTTTTATTTTAACTCACTTGATAAATATAATTTAATTTTTTTTCAAATTTTTGTGTTTTTGATTTTTTTTTTTTTTTATGACTTTTAATTATTTATTGTTTAAAAAAATTTTTTTAAATTTTAAGAAAAAACTAACAAATTTTTTTATAAATTTGATTTGGTAATTTTGAAAAAATAAAATTATAAAACACTATTTATGTTATAATTATAACAAAACTTTTTTATAATGGATTTTAAAATTTATATTCTTATAAATAGCTGATAATATTAAATGAAAAAAGTTCCAATAAATAATATTTATGAATTTCTTTTTATATTAATATATATCCTTTCACTTAATTTACAATATTAACATTTATAAAAAATAGTATGTCATTATGGTTTTTCATAAGTAAGTATTTTAAAACTGAAATACCAAATTTATTAAATATATATAATTAATGATCTAAATATCTTCAAACAAAATATAAGATTAAAACGTTTTCTTTTTATTATTGTTTTCAATTTAATTTTTATAAATTTTAGATGAATTTTCATTTTTTTCAAAACTGTTTGTTTTTTTAATTATTTAAATTATTCAATGTAAACATCAATGAACAATTTACTTCAATTGTTGATTTAATGTCAATTTTTTTCTGTTTCATTTATTTTACTCATTTTATTATTTTTAAATTTTATATATTTTCATATCAGTAACTAAATAATATCCATAATGCAGATACAAATGCTATTAAAAATTTTTCTTTTAGATCAAGATGGATTTAGGAATTTATTTTTTTTTGATTTTATTTTAAAAAAAATAATTTGTTTAGAATTAATCAAAATATATTTTATGATTAATCTGATGTTATAACTCATAAAAATCGATAAAATTTTATTCATTTTTTAAATCTTTATTTAATTGTCTAGATATTGAATTAAAAGAAAAATTTATTTGGATTTGAACTTTAAATAAATAGATTAAAATTATTTTCAAGTTATTTATTTTTAAATTTTTAAATTTGAATCAATCTTTTGAAATTTAAATTATAAATTCATTTCAAAAAATAAAATTTGAAAAAATTTTTTATAAATATAAAATATATATATCATTTTTTTTCCCTGTGTGTGTTTTATGAATTCTAAAACGTGTGTATGTTTTTTTTAAAAATATTTAAAATATAAATTTAAAATATATCATAAAAAAATATTATAAATAACGACAAAAGTTACAAAAATTAAAGAATTTCGAAATTGATAAATTTTTTTTAAAAATTGATTAACTTTTTATTGTTTTTTTTGGATAATTATTTTCCTTATAATTGATTTCAATTTTTAAATTGGAATTTACGATTCAATTTTTGACTTAACTACAAGATAAATTGTCATTTTCAGGTCAATTTTGCTATTTGTTTAGAATATTATAAAAAAAGGATCACAATTATACATTTATTTTGTTTTTTCTAAATTTTAATTATATATATATATATATATATATATATATAATATTAAAAAATATAAAATGAAAAAATTATTGCTTCGTTGTTCATATTTTTTTTTGGGTTTAAATGATTAGTTTTGAAATTGTTCAAATTTTACCGTCAAACTTTAATAAATAATAGTATATAATTAATATTGTAGAGCCCGGCGTTGCCTGGGGATATAACAGTAAGAGATAGATCAAGTAAATCGACCATCATAAAAACTGAAAAAAATAAAATTGACAAAGATTATTGTTTAAGGTTGACGGACACGCATGTCTTAATTAGTTTTTTTTTTTTTTGAATTGGTCAAAAATTTTTTAAACAAAAAAAACATTGTTTTCAATCGTTATGAGTCTACCGATTGAATAGAATTTTATTATAAACAATTGTCTTGTAAATGGAATTTTTTAAAGCATTCTGAATGTAAAAATAAAGAAAAAAAAAATGTGCAAGACAATAAGAAACACTACCTGCCAAAAAAAAAGTGAAGTTTTGTTGAAATCGGTTGAAAAATGTAGGAAATCCGATCCAATATATAAATGAACAGACACACACACAAAACCTGGGTTTTATAATAAGTATGATGACTGACAAGGCACTAAGATTAAGCATATTATTATATTTTATCTTGCATTCATACAAATGATTTCTTTTAATTCATTTTTTTATGTAGTTTATATATATATATATATATATATATATATATATATATATATTTTTTAAAATAATCTATTCAGCTAAACGAAAAAAATCCTTGATAATGACTAATAGATTAAATGAAAGTGCTCGGATCTGCAGGAGGAGGAGGGAGAAGAATAACAAGAAGGAGGAGGATGAGGAGCAGGATGGGTAAGAAGAACAAGAAGATTTGTAACGGATAAAAAATTTAAATTTCTGAGAATGCGGAAATAATTCAGTGAAGAAGAAGGTTCAGCACAATAAACATTTGTTATAGTTTTATAAAATTATTTTTACATCCTCAATATTGTCATATAGGATTTTACTCGTTTATTTCAATAAGGTTTCCTTTTAGCAATTCGGAAGCCTTACATTATCTCATTTTGTATGGTGTGTCTGCCATGTCGATGATAAAAAAAAACAATGAAAACTAAATTGCATTGTTAGTTACACTAATAATCATTCGACAAATGTTTGTCGGAATGCAGAGACTCATTAAATCAATTTCGTATATATCATGATAGTCGATGGGCAAAAGATTCCCGTGTTTTCATTTCTTAAACAAAGACTTTCTCTTCTGTATTTATTATCTGGATATGACGATAAACTACATTCAAGAGCAAGGCCTCGGATCGGGAGGTTTTGTGGGGCCAATAACCACCTCTTAATTCCAGTTGTTCCCATGTCCACCCTGACCGCGGGTGGTAGCACCTGTTAGGGTCCCAGCTATGGGAAAATAGTGAACACCCAAACAAAATCAAAATACTACGAAAGTATAAAAATAATTTTTGTAAAAATAAAATATATTTTCAAATAAAATGATTTTCAAAATATGACAAAAAATGAGGACAACACAAACAATGTAAAGCATCATAGCTTCAATTTTTATTTCATGAAACTGTGTCTTCAAATTTTTGTTTTGTGTGTCTTGTGTGTTTGTGTGTGTGTTGTGTTGTGTGTTTAAAATCCAAACAATGTGTGTGTTGTGTTTGTGTGTTGTGTGTGTCATGTGTGTTTGTGTAAAAGATATCATGTGTGTGTGTGTGTGTGTGTATTTGTGTGACTAAAAAATGTTTGTAATGTGTGTGTGTGTGGCTTTTGTGTTTGTTGTCTTTTGTTTCTTTTTTATTTTATTTTCTCATTTTAATTTGTTTGTGTGTGTGTGTTTTTTAAAAAATGTGTGTGTGTGTGTGTGTGTGTGTGTGTGTGTGTGTGTGTGTGTGTGTGTTCACTTTTGAACTAATGCCTTAGGGAATGCCATAAATTTTCATCTTCTCACCACCAGTTATGGATTAAAATGTAAAAGACAGGACTCCCTAGCCTTGGATAGCACCCAGTCTAAGAGAAAGATATATCTAAATTCTAAATCCTGGAAAGTACACAACTCTCTTCGAAATATATAAGCTATATTCAGGCAGCTAGAATTCATTAAAGCAAGTTTTAAAATTAACCAACAAAGTATGTCTCTTTACATTTTATTACATTTTTTCGAGTTTTCGTATAAGATGAATTGCAGCTATACTGTTCTATTTTGGTTCAATTACTGTCAATATTCTTAGTCAATGTTGTTGATATGGTAGACAAGATTTTGTTGGCAACATCATGACATTTTGGTAGGAACCCTAAATTTACAATAATACAAATATAATGGTACATATATATATATATATATATATATATATATATATATATATATATATATGTGTGTGTGTGTGTGCTTGTGTGTGTGCACGTGCGTCTGTGTGTGTGTGTATTTTTATTGATTGACTGATTGATTTTCTGTGGCTTATCAAAACTTTGCAAGTTATTTAAAAACGGAAAAACTTTTAGATTGTAAGAATTTTTGTTTTGTGTGTGGGGGGGATAATAGTGATAAAAGTGATACTAATTAACCCATAACTGAGGGAAAAGACGTGGATTCATACTTTTCCCAACGTGGACATAAATATAACGAACCCAACTGGAACTGGTTAATTGGCTCTCTGATTAAATATTCCGAGCCATTATCCATTATACCACCCTTTCATCCAAGCATAAAGCACCTGGTATTCCCAAGTAGTCACCCATCTAGGTACTGACCAAGCTTGACGTTGCTTAACTTCGGTGATCATATGGGAACTGGTGTTTCAACCTAATCTCAAGAGTTTCGTAGACGGTCCTGTCCGTCCACTCGTCAGCGGGTATCACCAATTGACTGCTTATACTTTTCCATTTTTATTTGTTATATGAACCTATAATTGGTGCAAGTTTTTTTTTTCTTTTCTTTTTATTTTATTTTATTTATTTTATTTATTTTTTTTTTTGTCATAGTGTATGAGTGAGTGTGTGCACTGGCGTGCGTCTGCCTGCGTGGATGTGTGTACGTGTAGAATGTCATGATTATTTGTCTTTTTCTTTACATGTTTTCACACTTTACACTCACTCGTAAACCTTTTCTCTCTTTTTCTTTTCTTTCTTTTCTTTCAAATATTGCCATTTCGATTCCTTTTTTTTTCTACACAGGCTTCGCTTTTGATGTTTGAGCTTTCTAGTCTTTTCTTGAGTTAAGAAAATTCTATTTCATTTTTGTATAATTCGCTTTAATAAATGATAAATAAATAAACGATAAAGTAAATATTTATATGTCTTCCATTTGGCTATATATATATATATATATATATATATAAAAATACATACATATATATATATTAAAAATACATACATATATATATATTAAAAATACATACATACATATATATATATATATTAAAAATATATATATACACACATATATATATATATATATATTAAAAATACATATACATACATATATATATATATATATATATATATATATATATATATAAAATACATATATATATATATATATATTAAAATACATACATATATATATATATTAAAAATACATATATATATATATTAAAATACATACATATATATATATATATATATATATATATAAATATATATATAAATATATATAAAAAGACATATATATATATATATATATATATTAAAATACATAAATATATATATATATATATATATATATATATAAAAAATACATATGGTACATACATAAATACATATATATATATATATATAAAAATATGTATGTATATAAATAAATATATACATATGTATATATGCATTTTGTTGACAAGCTCTAACATCACTTGATTGTCTGAGAAATGATGTCAGTCCAGTGACTCTGGTTCATGGTCTTCAACACAAAACAATAACAGAGAATGAAGTTAATTTCAAACAGTCTTCAATCAAAAACCATCATAAACTCGTGGAAAATTTTCAATATCGACGACTGACAGAAAAATATGTCAAGTTATCGTAACCCAGTTTTAATGGCCAACGACATGCACGCACAGAAAGCCTCGGGTGTCTATTTGTAGTTTTAATTACATGAGGTTTTCTTTTTTATTGACTACTAATTAATTACCATAATATCGATTACTAATCGATTCTGGGAAAGAAGTTGATAGAAATTTTCAAATTTTGATGTATTTTTTAATCATTTCTCCTCAACCAAGGCGGGAATGTCACTTGTACGCAGTGGGTTACAGGAAATGAAACTGAAAGAAAAGACTGAGTATAATGAAGTTTGAGAATAGGACATAAAATGAACGGAATTCAAGATGACGACGATTGACGTTGCATTTAAATTTTTGAAGATTATAGTTGTCAGGGAAGTAATTAAACGGAAGGAAATTTAGCTGTTTCAACAGCAAACGGGTGGGACCTAGATGCCAATCTAACATCACGCTTAAATTCATTTATTCCGATTACTAGTGATAAAGCTCTTGAGAGCATTTACCATGAAAATATTTGTAGAAAAGACAGTAGGAAGCCACGCCACATCGGTAAGAAAGTGACTGAAGATGAGCTATCAAGTCAGGATCGATTACATTATAGATCCTTCTTTGGATTTTGCCATGAACTTTTAGGTGAGTAACAGGAGCACTGGGCCAGATATAGCAACAGTATTCAATGCTTGGGAGAATGGTAGATTTGTAAATGCTCAAGATGGGCTCTGACGAGAACAATTTTCTGGTACGATACAGTGAACCAACTTGCAATAGATGCATCTATTGATTCGATGTAGTCACTCCACTTCAAGTCAGTTGAAAACGTGAGGCCAAGAAGGCGCAGTGGGTTGCACTCCAGGAGTCTAGCGTCAGCCATGCAGATGGCAGAAAAATTTCCCTAATGTGGTTAAATGAGAGCAGTTTTTTTTTTTTTTTTTTTTTGAAGCGTTAAAATTTACAAGCCATTTCCTGTCCCAGTTACCCAATGATTGGAGGTCCTTTTCATGGGCAACGGCCAGATTTACTTTGTCAGCTCTGACGGATTTGCTATTGAGACTGGAGTAAATGATAGTGTTATGTGCATAAATGCCTATTTGGGAACTGATGATATCAGTAAGATCATTGATGAAGATATTTAAGCAACTCTCAAATTAAATATTAAAATATTCCAAGATTCGTTCTTTCTTTCTGAGATATTCTAAATAACAAACACTTGTTTACTAAGAGATGAGAGTCTCAGTTTCCCATACGGAATAGGTTAATGTCATTGGGTAAAAATAAGACAAAGAAAGGCGTAACAGGATTCCTCCAGAAGCTAAATAGCAGAGTGTGCAGAGGACAAAATGAAGACAAAGAGCAAATTGAAAAGAGGGGGGACATTACGCAATTACAGGTTTGGGAGGCGGGGACTGAATATGTTGTTATAAGTATTAGGAGGTGGAAAAAGTTTAACCGTTATTTCCCACTGTTCCAAAAATTAGGAGCCTATAATTAATAATAGATTTTTATAAATCGATAATTAAACCTAAACGGTTAGAACGTAAGTTTTCAGACTAATGAAACTCCCTATATTGAATTGCACCATGAATGAATTTTGTTATTTTTGAATTTTTGTAATACCGAGGAGAAAACATTAGTCGGATTATTGTCCTCATCTTTGTCGCCATAATTTTGTCATTTACAGGACGAAACATTGTCGCACTGGCCTTTTAAGGCAGTGGAGAAATTCGAACTGAATTTACAGGAGATAACTGATAACTGTTCCACATGGCACGTGAACTAGAAAGTCTACCCCAGTGAGCGAAATAAAGGGTTCAGTTCGATATTCCAACCACCTGAAGAAGGCCGGAGCGTACAACGACCGAAACGTTATGACAAATATGGCGACAAAGATGAGGACAATAGCCCGACTAATGTAAATACTGTACATAATACCTCATCTCAGAAATATAGACAGACCCGAGGAGATGTTGAGAAATGTCTTAAAACCACAACACTGGTGAAATTGGATCAAACGAAATTACAAATCGTGGCCGAAGGTTTGACCGTATTAGCCTTGTTCAAACTGGTGATCGCTCCAGATTATCTATTCTCTCCTAGAAAGTGTAATTAAGGTCAACTCAGCATAATTGCTGTATAAACCAGGAGTTGGCTCTGTGGATGAAGACAAATGGACCTAAACAACAGACACTAAAAGAACAAACATTCTCGTGAGTAAGATTATAAAACCAAAGTCCGAATAATTCAGTAAAATATTAGATTACTTAAAATATTTTCTTAAAAATTTAAGATTATTGTAAGTTAATATATATATATATATATATATATAAAGATATATATATATATATAAAGGTAATTCACGCTGTATTTAACGAATTTTTAAGAAATGTTTTTTATATTTAAATTTCACTAACATCAGGTTGTCAACAACATACCAAAAAAAACACTTTCGTTTGTGTTAAAAATTCTTTCTTTTTTTTTTTGCAATATTTTAAATAAAAATAAGTAATATTTGTTTCAATTTAAATTAATTAAACTTTAAATCAGCTAATTTTCCTCAAACAACATTTCAACAAAGTATATTTTATTTTTGAAAGATTTTTTTAATAAAGAGAATTATTTTGTTTTGACAGATCTGTCAATATAGCCGAATTTATAAATTTAACTGATAAGTAGAAAAAAATATTCCAATCAATTTAAATTCAATTTGGAATACACCAAAGTATTTTGCTTATTGGAAATATTAAATTTAATCTGTTCATTTGAAATTAAAACTAAACTAAAAACTTTAGGGAAGATTTTTAATTTTTTCAAATACATTTTAAACTTTAGGTATCGCTTCTTTTTTTCTTTTTTTTCTTTTTTCTTTTTTTTCATTTAAAAAAAATTAAGGTACCTACTTTTTGGGTTCTCCACATGAAAGGAGTTAAAAGATTGTTAAGATTAAGTTCTGAATTCTGTAAACTTTGTTCAATATTTATTCTAAAAAGAAAATATTAATGCTATTTTTCTTTCTTTCACCATAGCTTCCTGTTGGTAAATTCTCCGATCATCCTCAGTTGACATCTACACGTAGAAGATATGAAAACAGCATTTTTCGCTACGTTCAACTCGACAGATGAAAAGCGACAATTGTATGTGATTTCAATTGTACTTTCTTTCCAGAAATAAATTAGATGAACAGATAGCATCTTGACTTTGGGATGGTTATACAAACGTGCCCTGTTGACATTGGAAACAAATCAAGGGTACAATATTTGATCAACTTTTAACACTGGATGCCAATCAATCGATACCTGAGATTTCAGGATTTTATCGTCGAAACAGATTCTGCTTGTGGAGCGGCAAGCAGTGTCTTCGTGACAATCGCTTGGTTGGAACTATTCCTCTGGGAGTTAAATGGTGTCGACAAACCAACCAAAGACATTTTTAATGAATTTTGGGATTAGTTTATTTTTTTCTTTCTCTTATACTTAGTGAAATATGTAATTTATAACAGATGAGGAAAAAAAAGTCCCAATTATAACCAACTAGCAGAAGAATAGTTCACGGTTAATCGTTTCTTGTTTACAGTGCTCATCAAATGTAAATGAGCATCAAATTTCTAATTTAGCCGTATCGATGAGGAATCTTTTTCCCTCTTTGTCGGGTTTTTTGAACCCGTCTCTGTAAACCTTTGCAAGCAGAAAAGAATATTTTTTTAATTGTTCTTATTTAAATGTTCTTTGAGCAAATCGGCATCAATCACTTTGTAAAGAGCCAAAAGACAGATGCAAAATGTGTGTGAAAGGAGGCGTGTTTACATGATTT